AATTTTTGCTTTGATCGTATTGGTGCACAAAATACGCTCAAACGGGTTCATAACCCTAGGGCCTTGGATTTAAATGATAGGGGTCATGTCCCAAGTTCTAGTGGTACCAAAATGATTTGGGTACCAAAAAGACTTATATAGTATTTTTTTTATTTGTTTTGTTTTGTTTTTGTAAAATTTCTTTTTGGCTTTGAATGACAAATTATATTCCTTGTGTCAGAATAAATTATTTATATGTTTTTAATAGACAAAATTACTTATATACATATTATAAAACTTTTAGTAGTTTGTAAAATAAATTTCCAAAAGAGTTTATAATAAAAATATCTCAAAAATCAGGTTTATGCTTATTACTCTCTTTCGGTCGACCGACCCGGTCGACCGACGGTTATCTGTAAGCATTCCGGTCGACTGCGTCGGTCGACCGAAATTGAATTTCTCAGCAGCGAGGTTTTCGATTTTTTTTGGGTTTCGGTTTTTATCGGGTTTCTGTTTTTAGACCCGAACTGATCATCACCGCTCATCCTTTCATGAATCAATCCTAACCGTACCCTCTTCATCTCCTTGATCTGATCCTTCTCCTTCTCCCCATTTCGTCATTTTTCCCAAAGTCACGAAAACTCTTCACGGTCGCCTGGCTTCATCGACCGAAATTTTCATTCTTCATCTTTTTCCGACAGTTTTGCTAGGTAATGATCTCCTTCTCATCTGTTTAACCTTATTTCATTGTTCTAGTATTAATTCTTCCTAATCTAGGGTTTTTGTTCTAGGGTTTCTTGTTAATTTGCTCTATATTGTTTTATTTACAGGACATTGCAAATTTTCTCTAATCTTTTCAAAACCCTAACTCATCATGCCTCCCAAACCCTCCAAAAAGAGGTCTAAACCCGAATCTAGTTCCTCCTCTGTGAAAGCCTCACATTATGAGGATTATCTGCTGTTTAAACCTCTTATTAGGAAATATAGGGAACTTTGTAAACTGAAAATTCTCCCAACTAGATATATCAAGTACCCTGAATTAGTCATGTATAACACTCAATCCATTCTTCACAATGTTGGGTTAGATATTTTGCTTGATGAAAGTCACAAAGTTCCTTATTATCCATTTCTTGTTTATCTATTTTATGCGAACCTGTCCACAATATCTTCTGCTGATGGTAGTTTAACCATTACATCATCAGTGAAAAATGTTAAAATTTCTTTTTCTGCTAACGAACTTGCGGGGATTCTTAATATCCTAACAAGTGACGTTCATCTCATGTCTGTTGATGTTGGTAATCCAGAGATTAACCCACTCATGTTTAAGCCCGGATGCTCATATCCTATGAACAACAATTCTCTTAATCCTATTGCCAGACTCATTGCCAGAATTGTTGCTCAAAATTTAATTCCTAAGACTGGAAGTTTTGATCACTTCGCCTCTGACAAGATAAATGCTGTTTATGCCATCTTTGCTAAAATCAAAGTTGATTGGGATACTATCTTTATCAATAACATGGCATCTAAACATACCAAATTCCTACCTTTTGGTTCCTTTTTCACTCTCATCTTTCAACATTTTAATGTTGATCTCACTAATGAACCTAAGGTTGAATCCACAAGAGATTTCTTTGATAAAGTTTCCCTTTCCAGAATGCAAATATCTCTTGACTCCACACCATCTTCTCTCTCCCGTTCCAGAGCCTCTACTTCTTCCACTCCTTCCACTTCTGAGATTTGTGACCGTCTTGATCGCCTTGAGACTCGAGTCACATCTGTTCAGAAGGATGTTAGGACTATTCTTGCATACCAGTGTCGATCTCTCGGGATCCCTTCTAATTCTGAGTCTGATTCTAGTGAGGATTCTGCTGATGGCTCAGATGGTGATGGTGATGGTGGTGGTGATGGTAACGGTGGTGGTGATGATGGTGGAGATGGCGATAGTGATGATGTTGGAGGAGGTGATGACTGATTGAGTCTCTTCCTGTGATGTTTTTATTTGTTTTTTTTTTGATGTTTTCTTCTAGGTTGTAAAAACTTGATAACTCTGTTTTTATTTGAGTGTAATAACTCTATGATGCTTTGTGGAACAACTATGTATGGTTTTGTGTGACGTTTTATGTATGACTTACTATTTCGTGGACAAACCTATATGTATGCATAAATATGCTGCCTTTAATGTCTATATGATGTTATTTGTGACTCATTATGTTCAGTTTATTTCTTTTATGAATCACTGCATTGTTGAAACAACACTCATGTTTTGGTGTGCAGCAAATAGCTGCTTATCATAAGTTGCCTATGTGATGCCTAAATGATGATTTGAAAATTGCTTATGCCAGTTTATCATTTTGTGATCAATGCATGGTTAAGACAATACCCATGTTTTGTTTCTTGCATATTTTTTATTATGCATAAGTTTGATGGATAGTTGTCAGTTTAGCTCCTGTATACATGCTCTATTGCTGTCATCTAGTCTATTTGACAGGGGGAGTTTTTGACATAAATTTCTTTACTTCTCTTATCTATGCTTATAAGCAGGGGGAGCATTGCTCCTATCTTTCATTTTTCCCTCTTTTTGATGTTGTCAAAGGGGGAGAAATACCACATATAGCTTACAAATTAATTTCTGTTATATATGGTCATATATGATTTTTACATATGGTCATGTATAACTTATTCTTGTTTTGGCTTATATGTGGATCATCAGTGTATACTTCATACTCATGTATAAATTGTTTGCCATCATCAAAAAGGGGGAGATTGTTGACCCTATAGTTTTGATGATGATTTGACAAACAATTTATTACTAATAAGTTTTTCCAGTGTTTTGTGTTTATGTTCTCTTTTCAGGTATTTCAACACAGCGTTAAAGATTCAAGTTCATCTGCGTGGATTTACCTAGGTATTTGTTTAGTTTACTTACATATATGGTATGATGATATCTAAGCTCAATATATATACACTTAACACGATTTTTGACGTTTTATATCATATAGATGATTTTTCTTAAAACATTGTTAAAATATCTTTATCTCTTGTTTACAGCTCTCTCACGCTTTGCTATATACATATAATTTATGCACAATACATATATGAATATTTACAAGTCCTATTTCAAATTTCACTTTCATAAAAATACAGGTTTTCTAAGCATTTTTCAAAAACAGGTAGTTTTCACAAACGAAATTTGTTTTTCCAAAAATTCCTTTTCAAACATGTTCATTTCATCATTTATAAACTTTCCCCAAAGTTTCACTATTTTTGGATATGATTTGATATTTTTAACTCCAATTCGGTCGACCGCCAGCTTTAATACTTCGTTTCTCTGGGTTTTTGAACTAATCGGTCGACCGGACCGGTCGACCAACGAGTTGTCAGAATGAGCCTAACGGCTAGTTTTTCAAATGGACTTTTTGGTCTTTTACTTATTTTTAGCTGTTGTATTGGGGTGCTATATATACTCCATTGCTGCTCTTCTTCTCTAAGAACCAAGAAATCCAAGTTTGTTGTTTAACAAGTTATTAATCGCGTTTAAGAGCTGTTTAAGAGTTGTTTCATCAATCTGTTTTCAAGAGAAGTTTTTCTACAACAAGAAGAAGCTTTCAAATCCTATTGGAATCATTATTTCTTCAGCTCTTCTTGTTCATTGAGAAGTTTTCTAAACTCTTTCCTATATAGCTTATTATTTCACTTTCAATTTGATTAGCTATATTCATTAAGTTATTTATTGAGTTTGATTCACTATTATCACACACACTTATTGAGCTTGATATTCTCATATTATATATTGTGGGTTGTAGTGTGGGATTTAGTGAGTGTGAGCTTTATTGTGTTCTCACTTGTTAATTGAGAACAAATCATTGTATTTAACTTTTATTTGTGAGAATCACTTGTAATACACTTGTACACCGGGAGAAGTGTGAGGAGAGAGAGACGGGGTCAAATCCAATAGGAGTGGCGTCGATTGACGAACCTAGGGAGAGGTTGTAATCGAGCACTTGAGGAGGAGGACACGGGCTAGATTCCTACACTTAGTGTGTAAAGTGTGATTGTTGAGTGATTGTGTAGTGTGAGAGTTTTCGGTGAACTTGTAAACCGAGTGTGTAGAAGTTCCGGCTTCCAAACCGGATTGTGATAGTGGATATCTCCTCGAGGTGAGGAGCGGGGACGTAGGTCGTGGGGACCGAACCTCGTAAACATATCGTGTGTCTGTGTTTTGATTGTCTCATATTTTATTTGTGCATATTCTTATTGCTCTTATCGTTCATATCTATCTCTTGCAAGAATATATTGATCTACATAATTTTAATTGGCATATAATCGGATTAGATTAGTATAAGACCCTAATCACCCCCCCTCTAGGGTCTAACACCGTTGACTACACCGCATATATGGGTTGGTATTGGGATATCACACATAGATGGATCACACGTGACCCACAGCCCTTAGCTGGACACATGCCACGGCCACCGACAGACAGTTACATCCCTAGTGGGATGAACGAGAGAGATTACGTAAGTTTCTAAGCTAAATTATAATATTTTTTCTTGAGTTGGTACTTAATAAATTATTTACCTCACAGGTCCGTGCTTTTGATAGCATTCAGGCTGATATTGATGCGACCGTGCCTGAGATTCAGGATCAGGTGGCGTTAGGGCTCCTCGGCAGGATCAAGAAGACCATAGCACAGGTGTTTCATAAGACTCACGTCGACGAGTTCGCAGGCCGTGAGGACAGGTCTCGATCATTTGGGCAAGCGTACACTCGGCGCCGACGGCCACGTGACGATGACGGCGGCACTTCGCATGCTGATGGAGCCGGCACTTCGCATGCTGATGGAGCCGGAACTTCACATGCTGATGAAGCCGGCACTTCACATGCTGATGGAGCCGGCACTTCACATGCTGATGGAGCCGGCACTTCGCAGCCTCACACACAGCCGGATACTCAGATAGTCGAGGCTCATCAGCGCGGGGGGCGGGGAAGAGCGAGGGGGAGGGGGAAGAGAGGGAGAGGAAGGAGAGGAGCTATATTGGGTTGTATTTGAACTTATTTTGTTAAAATTTGTAAATTGTATGAATTTTCAAATACTATACTTTTATGGATCAATTATAGCTCGATATGTGATCTTTTTGCGTATTGTTTGATTTGTGAGTGTTTAAATAATATATATATTGCAGTAATTATTGTCAACAGGTAAATAGTTTTATATATGAGTTAAATAGGTAGATGTATGCATGCTGTGCATGTTTTTTTGTAAAACCTGCAACTTCACGGGAGTTGAACTCCCGTGAAGTTGCAGTGCAAATTTCCCAGAGACTGCAACTTCACGGGAGTTGAACTCCCGTGAAGTTGCAGTGCAAATTTCCCAGAGAGCGATTCTCTGGGAAATTTGGCCTGTAACTCCACGGGAGTTCAACTCCTGGAGTTTTAACAATAGAACAAACTCCACGGGAGTTGAACTCCCGTGGAGTTTATTGAGGGTAATAAACTTCACGGGAGTTCAACTTTTGTGAAGTTTAAAAACGTACTAAACTTCACGGGCCGGAGTTGAACTCCCGTGTAGTTTCGTAAGGTTTTTTAGAAAAACCGACCTGGTTTCAGCGACAGTGCTGAAACCAGGTCGGTTTCTCTAAATAAAACTGAAACGGGTCTTTTTTTGCAATTAAATAATGAAATAGGTTGGTTTTGAAAATTTGTCCGCGCTTAGGGTGCCTGATGCAGGTAATTCTAATTTCTAAAATCAAAAGGAGTACACGAGTCGATCCGCGAACGAACAGATCAATTCTAACCTTTGAGGATACACACCCAACACTTATACCTATTGATACTAAATGCTTAATAACATATTTTACCATGTCAAAGCAAAATTACCAGTTTCTTCTGACTTTTCCTTGCTGTAGTAGTGTAAGCAGTTCAGTAGCGATGGTAGGGATAGTTGTTGTCTCTCGGGTACGTAGGGCACAACACGGTAGCTGCTGCTCTCTTAAACACTCCTGTAAAATTAATTTTTTGCCCTTATTAATGTTTTTTATATATTTAAAATATTAAGCACCACTTCACATTAAATTACTTCCCACGCCCAAATCATATTTTTCTTAATTATGATATAAACTTTCGGTAGTAAATGTGTGGCGACTGTATTTGAAACACCGTGGGGATTTATTTGAACGATTGCGATTAATGTCGAATGAACATTAATTTATTGAACTTAAGGATTTGTGCTGAAATGTTAACTGAGAGTTAACAAAGATTATGAAGGACATGCTAAAAGTTAGTTTGGAATAAAGCGTAATCATCTCGATATTATAGAAGACTACAGTTTGAAGAAGTAAACTTTGCTATTGCCAATGACCCAAAATACAGGGGAAGGTGCCGTGTCACGCAAAAACCCTAAAATCATAATATATCAAAATGAACATGGAGAAATGAGCATTATTGCGAGAACGTGAATATCTAACAAACAAATAAGAAAACCTCACTATTAACCTTCAACGTGGTAAAGAACGTATTACAAAATACTCTATGAAGAACATACAGGTAAAGTCCTATCATATGTCTGGATTCACTTAGATAGACTGGGGAAAAACCAAAAAAGAATATCGAAATCGCGGCAGTCGAAAGCTTGTATATATCAGGTTTTATCAAATTCTTCAACTCTTCCGCTCGCTATGTCATATGATCCCCATCAGTATGGTAAATGTGGTTTCTCTTCAACGAAGGGTAATCGCCGGCGTGAAAACACGTGCATTGACTATAACTATCAGATGCAAACACCACAAAGTCCCCAAAATCCTCCACACGCCTGATCTGGCGTTGATCATAATCCACCTTAAGAATGCGAGAAATAGTTATATCTCGATCAATGTAATGGTAGATCACCATCAGCTCACCTGATGGGGCCTCGAAAAAGCTACATGCAGGACGTGAACCATCCATAGTAATGGAATGAATAGGGGATGATATACACAGTCCCTTGGGGAGCACCTGCATTATTAAAGAAGCGCAAAGTATTTAGAAAATGGCAGTAGATGGTAGGTAAGTATCCTCCCTCGCAGCAGATAATCTCGCATTCCTCTTCAAAATTTTCAGGCTCATTAGGATCAATCTGTGGAGGTGGTTAATATGTGAGTACAGTCCCATGATGTGGTTAAATTTGATAGAGGAGGAAGAAGAGGAGCAGAGGAGTCTGGGAGCAGAGGAGTCTGTGAAGGGAGAACTAAAGAACAGATGAAGCTAAAGAGAAGAATAAGATGACAAGTAAACAATAATTCACATACCTTCCATCCTCTCCATTACAACCACTATATATAACTACACTAATTATCTCTACCCACTAACATCACTCCTCTCTACAACTACCAACTAATCTTGTTGAACATTATTATCGTCATCGATCATGAATAGTTGTGGACGTTTACAATAATGACCCGTAATGAACTTCTCATCACAATAGTAACATAACCCCTTCTCTCGACGGTCTCGCGCCTCTTGGTTAGTGATTTGACGGAATGTTGTTGTAGTAGTATTTGAACTTGCATTCACATTCTGAGCTGGTGGAGGACCTAATACTCCAGCTGTTGGGTTGGGGGTGGTCGCCTTTGATGCCACGGAATTTGGTTGGGAGCGACATGATTGGCTCGGTTGCTTGTGTAACCGATTTTGTTCCTCGATTAGTCGAGCGACTCCTATTGCATCTGCCATGGTCTTAGGCTGCTTAATTTTTACATCGAGGCGAATGTCATCACAAAGCCCTGCAATAAAACAACAAATGAGAAAAATTTTAGGTAGGTTGTCAACGCGATGAGAAAGATTTTCAAAAGCTTCCTGATAAGCTGCAACAGTTAAGTCTTGTTTAAGCCGAGTTAGGACTTCTGACGGGTCTTCGTAGTCCGTTGGACCAAAACGGAGAAGGACAACTTTGATGAATTCATCCCATATAAGTGGTCCATGAAATTTCGTCAACCATCTGTGCCATTGTAGGGCGATGCCTTCTAAATGGAAGGAGGCCATTTAAACTTGTTAGAAGCATTGCAATTCATATCCAATGGAATTGCGCCATAACGATCATATCCAATGGAGGTTGGCGGAATTGTGATATGAAGCATTGCAATTCAAGTTAAAAATCCAAGTTCAAGCTTCATCTATGTTACCAAGTTTGAGCGTCATGAAGATCATTGCTTGGTATATTTAGTATAGGTTTATATTATGTGTGTTTGATACTCTAAGCTCATCACATACACACACATACAAGTTTTGGTTATATATATATATATATATATATATACACACACACACACACACACACACACACACACACACACACACACACACACACGTTTTTGGTTTTGTAATTTACAAGTTTATATAAATATGAAACATATACTTATGTTTACATATATATACATGTTTCATATTTATCATTTTATAAAATGCATATTGTGCAAAACTTTATTTTTGTATAATATTGAGTTTTTAGTTTATAGACCTAACAATAATAGTTTATATCTTTAACCAAGTCTATAAAATTATTTTATATAGTTTCAAAATATGGTTTAGTCAAAATGTCAAAAACAAGTGTTTCATTTTTATGTTTTGGACTATTTTGTAAAATAAAAATATTTCTCTTTTGGGAGGTGGTTTTTGAAAACCAATTTTTGTAACATGTTTATTTTCATGTTTACAATCATTTCCCAAAGTTTTATATTTTTCTGATTTTATTTGCTATTTTTAAAAGAGGTTTAAAAATCAGATTTTCTGTTTTAATCAGGCTGATATAGTGTTATCAGTTGACTAATGAATGTGTTCAGTCGACTGAAGAAATCGCTTGGAATGTCAAATAGTTTCTGTTTCTTATTCAGTTGACTGATCAGTCGACTGATGAGGTCATTGGTCGACTCACGATATAATCAGTCGACTGATGATGTATTGCTGGTCTGTAACGATCAGCTCATCAGTCGACTGATGAACAATATCAGTCGACTGACGGCATCATAACGGCTAGTTTTCCAGATTTTTTAGTTTCCATTATTTTGTCTTTTTGTGATGTTTTCTCTTGGTTTGGGTTATTTCATGAGCCTATATATATACCCCTTGCCCTCTAACATTCTGAGGTAATCAAAAAAGTTTTTAAACAAGTTTAAAGGGTGTTTTAAAGTTTGTTTAGTGTGTTTACAAGTTTTGTTTGTGAAGATATTTTCACAAGAGGAAGAAGATATCATCCTTTGGTGTTTGAGCTTCTCTCTCTCTCTCTCTCTCTCTCTCTCTCTCTCTCTCTCTCTCTCTTGATCTATAAAGAAGTTTTTCTAAACTCTATTTCTAGCTATTTATTGTTTTGTTCATAATTTCCATAAGCTAGAATTTTATTTGAGTTTAGTTTGTTTTATTTAATCTCTTTGTTACACACACCCACATTGAGCTTTAATATTTTCATAAATAGTATTATTGGGATTGTGAGAGATTGTAACATTGAGTTGGGCTTAACAGAGTTCTCACCTTGTTTAGAGAACAATAATTTATTGTATTGAGAGCTTAATTGTGAGATTATTTTGTAATACACTTGTACATCGAGAGAAGTGTGTGGTGAAAGACGGAGTCGTCCCAAGAGGAGTGGGGTAGGTGGTAATGCCTAGAGGTAGGTTATAATTCCTAATACTTAAGGGAGACATGGGCTAGAGACTAATACTTAGATGGTGTAAAGTGGGATTGTAAAAGTGTGAGATTGTAAAGTTTTGGTGAACTAGAAAACCGAGTGTGTGGTATAAACGTTATTCAGGTGAGCGTAGAAAACTCAGGTGTGATAATGGATTTCTCCTCGGGAGTGGGGAGCGAAGACGTAGAATAAAAGGTCTGAACTCCGTGATCATTTCCTTGTATTTGAGTTTGTCATTGACGCATTTTCTTTTATGTTTATCTTATATCGCCATTGTCTATAGCTCATTGTTTGTATTGCCCTATCACATTTGTATTTTGTTTATTTCATCTTTGTGTTATTTGTATATCATTGCACATATATTGTTCATATCTCATTTGCTAGGATATATTTGTTAATTAGTTTTTAAATTGGCATAAAATCGGATAAGATTAGCATAAACCCTAT